GTAAACAAATGACATAATATGCTATGAAGCGGACTAAGTCCGACAATTATTTTAACCTATTTTCTGTTTATGCGTTATTTTTATAAATAAAAATATGTAAGTAAATGTTCTGTTCATAATAAACAGTATTAACAACATTTACCGACCTGAATTCGAGCAGATATGAGCGTTCGAGGGAAGTTTGTAGTTTAAAAACAGTAATTTGACCTTGCTAACCAGACGCTTCCTCTGTAGCCAAATAGTATAGCACGTCAGGTTATAAGACAATTCCATGTAGGATACGGGTTCGATTCCTTTCGGTTGACGCATATTTTCTATGAAATTTCTAGGACATACAGACTGGTAAATGGTGTTAATACCGTTTATTATAAATAGATCATTTACTTAAATATAGGTACTTCCAAAAATTCGGTATACCTAAGATGTAAATGTATTTTTCATAAAGGAAAAATCATTTTCCAAGCTTTCACCCCGTTTCAATTGAAAGCTAAAGTATTAAATTTTCTAATTCTAGAAAAAATAGTGTGGAGTATGTCAAATAGAAATTGGAATGATTTTTTGTCGATTCTTAAGAAAAAGCAATCGAAACGGCCATTTTTAACTTTTTTAGAGAAATTGAGGCAAAACTTACTTTTTCCTTTTTGAAAATCCCGCTAAAATAAGATATACATTTCTGAAACATTACTTTCGTAAAATTAGAAAATTTAAAGTTAAATTAATCTGTTCTGAAACAAATAACACTTACGTATAGCATAGAATTTTCTAGACAAACATTTTGGTGTATTATTATTTTCACGTCTCTCGATAACTTGATAGCTGAATGTGTTGACAGGTTTAGTACAGTGCACCAAAATTGACATAACGTTTGTTTTTGTTTCTTATAATAATTTAAAATACTATAAAAATTTCTTACATTATTGAGTTACCTCTATAATGATATTTCTTTATTTAATAGCTAAGATAATGCTAAATAATTTTATTAATTATTAATATTAAATTAAGTTATTACATTTTTCATTTTATTACTGAGATAAAATCTAATAAAATTATTATGTTAAAAATAAGAATATCAATTATTAATTGTTTAAATTGATAAATGAGATAATTTTATTATCTCAGTTTAATTTTTAATTTAATAACTGAGAGTGACATAAGCCGAAGACCTTTATATGTCAAGCGAAATATTGGCGTTACCTACTTAAATATTTGTATCTATAAATATAACGTATAAACAGAAAAATATATTAAATAATTTGTCAATTTTCTTAATACATACATACATACATATATATATATATATATATATATATATATATATATATATATATATATATATATATAATAAAATGCTTAAACACTAATATTCCATGGTCATAATTTATTCCATTGTAAAATATTATCAATATATATTATATATATATATATATATATATATATATATATATATATATATATATATATATATGCAATATAGCATATAGAAACAGACTGTCGCCTCTAATTGTTGACTTCTATGTTCTTTTTTATATTTACACACGCTCTATCTCTGATATTGAACACTTTGTCCCATAAATATAGCACACCTTAAGACTATATTTCTTCATATATATATATATATATATATATTGTGCGATGTGAATCATTTTCTTCTCCATCCAGCTATGGGTAAATAGCAGGACAGACTGGGTTCTATAGCCTTGGATGGCAACTGGCCTAGGAGAAGGATAACTCTGAATTATTAACCTGCAGAGGGTCGTTTGGGGACTTTGTGGCACGTAGTGCACAAGGTCTTTGTATTCGGCCCTTCAAAAAGTGTGGATGGTACTGCACAAAACCTTCACCACTATAATCAAATGTCATGTTTTGTCGTTGGGCTGTCGGTTTCCTCGGAACAGATCTGCGTGACCCTCATACGTCGAATTCGACGGGAGAGTCGAGAGTAGTATTGTGCGATGGATACATTGTCGCCTAAATTACACAAAAAAGAAAATAACACTGACATCTTATTTTAACAGATATATCTACTAAAATTACACAAGAATATCTTCAAATACGAAAGATTAAATAGGTTCAATAAAATCGCTATTGGCTGCAAGTTTTCTGGACGCTCGATATTTTCCCTATCTAGACATCATTCTCACTTCTTACTTCCTCATTGTTTTCTTCATATCATGCACTTCATTCAATAAGCCTCTGACTTGAGTACTTCTTGAGCTTTCGGTGAACGTTAGTAATATATATATATATATATATATATATATATATATATATATATATATATAAAGCATGGAAATGATTTGCTTCTCCAATTACCTGCAAGCCTGACCCTACGAAATAAACGGATAGGGTATTTTGTTACTCTCGAAGGTACGCTAACCAAATCAAGTTAATATGGGAAATAATTTTTGGAGAATTATCGAATCATTCCTATAAAAAAAAACAAAAAAAAAACTGTCCGTCAGTGGTAGCCATGGTCACGTGATCCTCTCATTGACTTTTGTTCGCCATCTTCTTTGTCTCATTATCACAAAATAACGCGAATACTTAACGTCATTCCACTAATGGATCCAAATCGGCAGAATGACATTGAATATTCGATCATATAATGATATTGTTGCATTTTTTCGGAGTCTGTATTTTCAGCAAAGGTTCTCTGAGGCAAACGAAGAAAAATTACCTTCCGTGTGAATGAGTTTGTTAATAAGAACGCCGACAGTTTCACCGATTTCCTGTAACAGCCTCGGATTGACCACTTCTCATAAATTATCACCTCCTCGAATTTCTTTCTAAACTGCGGGTATATTTCGTTTTTTTTTTTTTTTTTTTTTTTTTTTTTTTTTTTTAATGACTTTTTACCTTTGGTATAAAAATGTTAAACAGTCATTTCTTTTCCAGTTGAATCGTTCCAAACAATGGAATCTTAAGAATGGATGAAAAAATCAAGTCTAATAGAAATTTAAAAACAAAACAACAACTAGAATTCCTTTTATTTTTTAAATATTTTCATTCATATTAGACCTATTGTAATTCTTGTTATAATCTTAAACAATACATTCTCCGGCCTTCATAGCATTACACGTGATTTTGAGTCATTGTGATGTATTCAGCTTTAATGTCCAAAAATATGAACGTTGGGCCATCACTTTATTTGCTTTATTTCAGAGTAAATATTTCATAATCTATTTACGTTGTCCTCATTGTTGTATTAATTAATAAGATTCAACCGGTGAGTTCTCCAGCCGTTCCTCTCATTCACTAATGTTTTGTTATGAAATATTGTAAAGATTTAATGAATTACTTAGGTTGATAACTTTGTTGTATCAACTAATACGATACAGCCGATGAACTCTCCGGCCTTTCTAACAATACTCTGAATTTTTAAATGATTTTAACTATTGGTATCTATTGATACGATTAATTAATACTGGTTAATACATATGTTCCTTTAGGTGACCCAGTATTAATATTTATTGGGAGCCTCGTTTCAATTAACCATCAATCACATAAAGAAATTCCATAGATGTTTTTATTATTTTAAATAAGATAAATCCAAACATACATGTATAAGCAGAATAACAACGTCTATTCCCAAGGATATTTCGAGCAAAAAAATGACATGAGAAACAGGAAATTATATCGTTGCAGTTTACTGTTGGATGATAAAAAAAGTTGTGCCTAATTTTCATGTTTATTTTAAGATATGTGAGTTCGATTAAATGTTTGTACGTATGCACGTGAAAAGAGGAGAATTACATACAAATATATATATATATATATATATATATATATATATATATATATATATATATTAGTAATTAGTCGGAGGATTTGATAAATTTAATTAATTCATCGAGTCTGATAGAAACCTCTACAGAATGCAGAAAGCACTGGACGGCCGTTTCGTCCTATATTTGGCTTCTAATGCTACAGTAGGTAGCGGCTTGCTGACAGTAGTCGTGGCTCCAGGTGGCACAGTCCTGTGGTAACAGCGAATCTCAGTCGAGTTCCGCCACGGAATATGTGAGCGAGCGGCGCTTTGTTGAGTCTCTAGAGCATTAGAAGCCGGTTCAAGCAATGATATATACAGATAGTAATTATATATATATATATATATATATATATATATATATATATATATATATATATGAGAGAGAGAGGAGGGTTTATATCCACAGTGCGAGACATTTGTCCGTTGAACTTTCAGCTGTGTCTTAGTCCGATGGATGTGGGATAGACGATTGAAGACAGTGCTTTGAAGTTGACGGAGACGAAATATAATTGAAAGAGCGCGCATCTCCTGGGACTTCAGTGCCAGTCTAAAATAGAATGCTTTGACTGGAGTATTATTTTACCTTTCACTCATGTGATGTTACGCTATACGTCGTCTGCGGAGAAAAATGGATTGAATGAATCGACCTTCTATTATAAACTTAAAAAAAAAAATATGGGACTGCTACCTGTATAAATCTTTTTTTAGATTTAAAATGATACTTGAATGATTAAGCTATTCAATTTGTTGAAAGAAGTAAGATATATCACCTAAATTATGTCCAGGTTCTTTTCTGGCAAATATCCATGTAGCTAAACGATTCCGCAAAGAATACGCGATATTCTTTAGACAATGTTTCGCATATGGTCGAACTATTTACGTTTCCTGAAATGGCCGATCAAAAATCGTTTGCTTCACACCGAAAATAGCGACGGACAATTTACTCCTGTGTGAATTTGTCGGAAATCAATAATTGTGTCTCCTAATAACGAGACACCGAATGGAATATGTTCAAATTCTTTCTATCTATCTATCTATCTATCTATCTATCTATCTATCTATCTATCTAATTCTATTCTTATCTATCTATCGATGTCTATTATCTATCTAATACTGTTCATATCTATGTTTATTATCTATCTAATACTGTTCTTATCTATCTAACTATCTATGTTTATTATCTGTCTAATTCTGTTTCTGTCTATCTATCTATCTATCTATCTATCTATCTATGTTTACTATCTGTCTAATTCTGTTCCTGTCTATCTATCTATCTATCTATCTATCTATCTATCTATCTATGTTTATTATCTGTCTAATTCTGTTCCTATCTATCTATCTATCTATCTATCTATCTATCTATCTATCTATCTATGTTTATTATCTGTCTAATTCTGTTCTTGTCTATCTATCTATCTATCTATCTATCTATCTATCTATCTATCTATCTATCTATCTATCACCATGTTCTTTCTTTCATTTTCCGCGTCGGCTGTATTCTTTTGTTTGTATGTTTACTCCTTTTTCTTTCTTTTTCCTTTTTATCTATCTATTTATCTATCTATCTATCTATCTATCTATCTATCTGGCTGTCTTTCGGCCAAATCACGTTGACACACCAGTTCCCGTCCGATCAATGAAGATAAGCAGCGTCGCATCTTGTCAGAGCCTAGATCGGTGACCGATCGAGAATACCAAGCGTAATAATCTGAGATCTGCGGGTTGTCTAATGTAATCTATCTATCTATCTATCTATCTATCTATCTATCTATCTATCTATCTATCTATCTATCTATCTATCTTTCTTTTCTTTCTTCCTTTCAAGAATTCTTTCTTTATTTCGATTTGTATCTCTGTCTCGTCTTTTTCTTTCTTTTTCTTTCTTTTTTCTTTTTATCTCGTTTTCTTCCTCTCCATCACGTCTTCTTTTGTTCTATCTAGTATTTGTCTTTCTTCTTTGTTTCTTTTAACCTCGTCTTCTTTCTTTCTTCTCCCTCTCTGTCTGTTTCTTTCTTTATATTCATCTCATTGTTTTTATTTTGTCTGTTTTGTTGCCAATTTCGTTCTTTTTATCTATCTATCTATCTATCTATCTATCTATCTATACGCTCATGTTTATCTGTCTATTGATATCTATCTATCTATCTATCTATCTATCTATCTCAGTCTATCGATATCAATCTATATGCTCATATTTATCTCTATCGATATCTATCTATCTATCTGATTCTATCGATATCTATCTATATGCTCATATCTATCTCAGTCTATCGATATCTAACTATCTATCTATCTATCTCATTCTATCGATATCTATCTATACGCTCATATCTATCTCAATCTATCGATATCTATCTATCTATCTATCTATCTATCTATCTCAATCTATCGATATCTATCTATCTATCTCATTCTATCGATATCTATCTATATGCTCATATCTATCTCTGTCTATACGGTATCTATCTATCTATCTCAGTCTATCGATATATATCTATATGCTCATATCTATCTCAGTCTATCGATATCTATCTATCTATCTCATTCTATCTATCTATCTATCTATCTATCTATCTAATTCTATCGATATCTATCTATATGCTCATATCTATTTATCTATCTATCTATCTATCTATCTATCTATCTATCTATCTATCTATCTCTTGCCACTTCCTATTTTCTATCAATATCAATTTGTCCATGTATATATTAATAACACTATCAATTATCGAATCCTTTTTCCCATAATTCCTTTTTTCTCTCAGTCTCTCTATCTCTTTGTCCATCCAGTTTATTGTTCCTCGTCACTTTTCCTTCTTCATTTTTTTTCAATTTCTATCTACATTTTCTTTCCGTCCATTTTTAACAATCTTACCACTTCCCTGACATAGGATTTATTTTAATTCTTTCTTCGTAAGATTTGCATGCTATTCTCTTTTTAAAATCATTTCCGAGGTTCGATTGTTCCATTCCTTTTTTTTTTTTTAATCATAATGTCTTTTGTCGTTCTTTTCGTTGTTGCTCACTTAATGTTCCCTTCGTGAATATCGGTCCACGGGAAAATATTTTCACATACGAAGGTCCCCTGACCGCGTGACAGCATTTCCCTGCCAAATAGAGCATTTATCTGTGCATCTATTATCGTTTTTGCTTTTATTCCGATACGGCGACAGATTGGTGGGAAATCCCAGCAGTATAAAACGATTCAATAATTACACACTTATCGAAAACAAACATCGTGGGTTTCGACGTTACATTTACCCGTAGAGACGCTGTAAATAAGAAAAAATTATTTATTTTAGATTAGTGTTTCGCTATTCGAGCTTTTGTCTATTCTTGGCTTTTAAAGACCGCTTAAGTCTGAGAAAATGATCAATTTGTATCCGAAAATAATTAATTCTAGGCGCCTGATATATGTTATTGAGCATTGGGAACATTACAAAAGATATTTCTTCCATCGGACTGCTATTTTATCTATATTGTATTTCTTAAGAACTCTTATCGCAAATTAAAATACATGTCTAAAAGGTAATAGATATTTTTATTGTTTCCTTCCTCTAGAGTTTTGTTCTTCGCAAACTTGATTTCACAAAACATGGTAAGATATATCTGAATACTTTGGATGAGGTTTTATCGTTATTTAAACTATTTATATTCGGACAATTGTCCTAATCTTTGTTGCTTTCATCACAACGTTTCGGCTGTTGCGCTTTCCGACCTTCCTCATCTTTGTAGCCTACAGAGAATTTCGAACTGATTCGAATAGTTTTTGTTCCATTGCTCATGGCTAGGGATATTGTCTAGTTATTATTTTTATTTAGTAGTGTTCAGTTTTTGCTTGTCCGTTTCCAGTGAGTGCTAGTACACACTGTCCAAACTAGGGATTGAACCCACAAACACCATGTCTCAAAATTTTTAAAACAACTTCTCAAGCCACTAAGCCATTGTCCCGAATGTAAATAGTGTAATAGAATTGTTGGTACAAAATATTATATTCATTTTTTTACAAAAGACATGATACCTATTATCCTATAATGGAAACTTATAAAATATACTGTGTAAAGATACTGCATTTGAAACACGTTTCTAAGTTACCAGGAGAATGCACTGATGCCGAATTTTCCATCTTTATTAGGAGGCGCGGTGGAGTAATGGATAGCGGGTCGGGTTGAAGAATCTGAGAGCTGAGTTCGAATTCCATTCGAATACATTATATTCGATTACGTGCTAATACCCTTGGGAAAGGTGTGAATCCTCATCTTCTCTCTCCCCTCAGCTATGGATAAATAGCAGGACAGACCTTAATCTATATCCTTGGATGGCAACTGGTCTACCGCAGAAAGAAATGGAAACCTACTGCGGGAAATAATCTGCCTGTCGAAAGATTCATGATCGCCTAAGTGTGTAACACGCATAGCAAATAACTGACTGAAGCAGAGAGCTCATTTTCTGACTTGACAACGAACCGAATTATGTTAATCTTGATAATTAAGCAATTCATTCCTTTCAACGTAGTTCTCGTTTTTATGACGTAATAAAATAAAATTGTTCTGTTATATTATTTTAAAATTATTTCTAACTTCTAAATGAAAATTTGAATATATCAAACGTCAATGGATTTTGGTACCAAACGTTTATAGCAGAAGTATTAAAACCATGATTCAATGTCGACTGGTTCAGTAGATCAAACGTTGACAGATATGTTTATAATTGTGTATATATTAAAAATTAATTTCATTTATTAAAATTAATATCATTTATTATAATTAATTTCATTAAAAATTGGAGAGAAGGCAAGACATGAATTGTTATCTTCACATACCTTTATTTTTAGCCTAAATTAATTCTCATAAATTATAGAATATAAGCAAGTAAACGCAGAATAGTATTAAGTCGTTTTATTTAAAATTTAAAAGACGTATCAATTTTTTATTGCGGTATGTCGAATAATCAATCCGATTTCAAATTCGGGATGGTATGGTGTTTCTGGTTTGGTGATTTTCTTCAGGCAAATAAAAAGGAATGAATTTTTAAAGGAATAAAATTTCCTTATATTCTTTTAATGTTTCATTGTTCATTTTCTGTATTTGTAGTGAGACTTGACCTCATTTTTTAGACTGTTTTCAAAACTTCATTTCTGCGTAAGTGGTAATAAAATCATTGGTTTGGTCTTAGTGATAGCGATGACAAATGTGCTGATGATAGATGTCCTTATGTATCTCACTCTCTCTCTCTCTATATATATATATATGTGTGTGTGTGTGTGACAATAAGCGTTATTTGACGCGTTCTGCCTTCTTGTTGATAAACGTTTATTTTATTGTGGTGGAGGGTTACAAGCGAAAGGGGAGACGGGATCGGATTATTGTATTACCACAAGGCCGCTGTCTTCGTTTTTGCACAATAATTCTTGCTAAAGGAATTAAAGTCATTTCCTCCAAGACCCAAGCTATGATTTAAATAAACAATAAAGACAGCGTTCTGTACTCTTTATTTGCAACCAAGGGTAACTGAACTACCAAACGAGTGAACGTAGTTTATATTCTTTCATTCTGGAAAACCTATTTTTGCATTGTCCTTGGCCTTCTTACTGAAATATATCATCGTTTTCGAAAGCTGTTGGAAATTAATGGTGATAATGTTCAAAATGATCAATGATAAAGCAGTAGAAGATCAATGTCTATCCACCACGAATTACCAAGCAAATATAAAATTGGTTAGCGCAATTCGATGTAGTTTAGAGATTAGCAAGCTTGTCTCGCTGGATAGATTACGTGGGAACGGTGATTTCGATCAGCACCGGGTAACACTATAGATTCGGTCTTGTGCTACATCTAAGGAACGCTTACAAAATCATCATGGTAAAATTTTTCAGGCCCAAAATGTATATTAAATAGACAGAAAGATAAGATGATTGTCCACTTAGAGTCTAATTTTCCAATTTTGACACAAAAGGAAATAAAAAAAAATCGATGCAATAACATTAGCCGGTATATTCATTGGGAGATACATCAATATTATAATGTGTCACGTGCTGAAAAATGGTATGAACCAGTGATAGAATGCCATGAAGTCGTCATTCTTTAAGAAGTTACTATTCATACTGTTGAGATGTTGTGAGTTTCCCGCGTGTCTGTGTATGAATCAAGACAAACACAGTTGTAGAGGAAAATACTGGTATATTCATAAAAGCAATTAACAATAGAGTGATTAGTAGAACGAAGGTTGGTTAGTACGAAACAATATCCAAAGTCTATAGTCCAACGGTATGTACCGGGTAAGCTTATCTGGACTGCTCACGCTGACTCTCTCTCTCTCTGACGCTCTCCCCACTCTCTCTCCAGAGCTGACTTATATAAGAGGGACCAGTCCATTTCTAGTTCGAAGGTGGGTGCGCCCCAACACACCCCCTAAAATTGTTTTTTTTTTTTTTTCCTTTTTACATTGTGAAAAAAAAAAAATTAATATTTGTTTCCTTTTCGGGTCTATTATTAAATTTTGTGTCGCTTTACGTTTTCTTGCAGATCTGCGTTGTTTCTGCTCAGTCTGCGGTATTTTCAGGTCAAACGTATCAAACAATTCGTGTAATTCGTCTTCTTGTGGGGTTACTTCCGATTCATCGGTCTTTCTTTTCTTCAAATGGTTAATGTGCCGTTTGTGTGTAAATTTGTTTCCTTGTATAATGTATACCATATCCCCAATGCGCTTTTTTATGAGCCCTGGTTCCCATGATGTTGCATTATTTTTATAATTTTTGAAAAAAATTTTCCTTTATGTTAAATTTTCGCCTGGGAACCATAGCGACTGTTGAGTGTACCTTATTTTCTGGTATCAATTTGTCAAGAGCCGATCTGACCTTTCTTGTGAACATTAGTTCCGCAGGTGATAGGCTTGATGGGGCAGATTTATTCGGGGTAATTCGGTACACTTGCAGGAATAGCTGTAACGCCTTTCTAGTCGGGGTACCTGTTGCTTTCCTAAGAGCTCTTTTCAACGTATCGACGAACCTTTCGGCTAGTCCGTTGCTGCGTGGGTGATACGGAGGAATCCTCACGTGATCAACTTGGAAATTTGGGCAGAATTCTGTGAATTCTCTGCTTGTGAATTGGGTACCGTTGTCACTAACAACAGTGTCTACCACCCCAAACCTTGCAAATAATTCATGTAATTTGTTTTGTATTTTAAGATGTTGGCCTCTTCATTTGAAAAATTTCGGGCCATTTACTAAAACTGTCGACTACGACTAAATAACGCCATCCGTCAATTGGACCCGCAAAATCAATGTAAATCCTTGACCATGGCCTGTCGGTTTTTGGCCATGGCTTCTGTAAAATTTGTGGTGATTTTGCTGCCAGGATGCAGCCTTTACATCTGCCGACCATACACGCGATGTCGTTGTCCATACCTGGCCAGTAGACGTATGCTCTCATGAGGCACTTCATTCTATTTATGCCCGGGTGACCAGCATGAAAGTCTTTCAGTATTCTTTTTTGGAGTGTGTTAGGGATTACCACCCTTTCACTGTATAATAGCACATTATCGCATAGAGAGGATGTCTCTTGAATTTTTCCATCTTTACTGGCTAGCTTATTTTTTATTTCTATTATATATTTGTCTTTTTCGGCTTCTTTTTTGATGTCCTTAAGCGATACTGGTAATTCTCGTATTGCGTTTGCCAAATTTTCTTCAACCTCGTCCTCTGCTCTGAGGGATGCGATTGCCGTATCCTCTAAAGGTTCTGTTGCTTTTGGAATGAGCCTTGATAGCCCATCTGCGTGACCAATTTTGTGGGTGGAGAAGTATTGTATTCTAAAATTATAATTTAATACAATTGTCCCCCACCTGAGCAATCTATTTGCGGTGTAAGTTGGCAGACCCTTTTTTGA